ATTACATGGTTGGTTTATGTTTATATTCTTTAATACCGAGATACTCCACCGCTGGAAGATGGACTAATTTTCTTACATACCAAGTAATTGTACGATAGAGTAGGTACAGGTAATCGGAAGAAACGGCGGAGCGGTGGAGGAAGGCGGTCCACTGTGAATACAGAGTAGGTCGCCAGATTTTATTTCTCCTCTTTATTTATTTTGCCCTTATTCTTTTTTATTTAATAATTCGCGCAGTTATTATATTTTTACTGGTGCTACATATTGAGGCAATTTTTTTTTTGGTGTAGTTTTAAAGTGTAGTTTTTAAAATGGGGTTGTTTTGGGGTGGGTAACCGAATTGGGGTTGAACGCCACCCACCACGGCGGCACCGGCAGGAGACGCCAGCTCCAACGGCGTCTCCATAGGAGATGCCACCGGTGGTGGCGTCTTCTCTTTAAAATATTAATATTTTTATATTATAATATTATAATATTATAATATTATAATATTATAATATTTTAATATTTTAATATTTTTAATATTTATATTATATTATTAATATTTTCTGATTTTAATTTTTTTTACAAAATAAAACATTAATGTTAGTATTATTTATTACATTTTATATATTTTCTCCATTAGTGCTAAATTAATCATTGCTTATATTTATCTAATTAACACAATAAAATAGTGTACAATCTTAAAAACATGTAGACAAAAACAAAAGGAGTTCTAGAAAATAAAATAGTTATATAAAATAAATAGGTCCAATAAAAGAGTTATATAAAATAAATAAGTCCAAAATGTGTACAAAGACAAAATGAGTACAAGAAAATAAAATTGGCACTATGAAGTCAATGCCATATATATATATATATATATATATATATATATATATATATATATATATATATATGGTGCCTCGGGTGAATACAAGAACTTATCGTATTATGTATTTTCGACATACTTTCATAAATCGATTTTTAGGCTGCATTTTTTTTATATCTTTTTTTACGATTAGGTAAAATTTGGGTGGAGCGGCTCGGAAGATGGAGTAAGTATAGGGGTGATTCTGCAATTTTCAAAACTATGTCGGACGGGAGGTGGATTTGTTGTCTTAAATATCAACAAATCGATCAAATTTTACGATTTACGATTTATGAAAACTGTAAAGGTATTATTATATTATTTATGATAAACTTGTGATAATAAATGTGGAGAATATTTTGGATATTGAAAGAGAGATCCACTTTGGGGTCAAATTTGTAATTAGGGTGGAGCGGCTAGGAATATGGAGTAACTATAGGGGTGATTCTTCAATCTTCCCAACTGTTTCAGCCAGGGATGTGGATTTTCGGAAATTACAACTTGATTTCCACTTGGGGGGCATTTCCGGTTTGAAGACTTTAAAATGGTATATAATATAGGGACCAAAATAGTAATTATAACACGTTTATTATAAATAATATAATAAATTATTGTTTTCTTAAATCGTAAATCGTAAAGTTTGATCGTTTTGTCGATATTTAAGTTTTATTTTAACATTTGAATCGACTTAGGTATGAATAATTGAATCCTAAGATTTGAATCGTAAATCAAAAGATTTTAAACTTGGTATTGCGAAATTTCATAAATGAGTCACACGCGATTATAGTCGAGGAGTCGAAGCATACTGCGTTGGTGGCAGATATTTCGGATATTGCAAGAGAGATCCACTTTGGTGTTAAATTTGCAATTTGGGTGGAACGGCTTGGAAGATGGAGTAAGTATAGTGGTGATTCTGCAATTTTTTAAATTGTTTCAGTTAGGGAAGTGAATTTCCAAAAATTACAAATTGACCCCCACTTGGGGTGCGTTTCTTGTTTAAAGACCAAAAAAAAATGTATGTAATATAGGGACCAAAAATCAGAAAATTTGATCGATTAATTTATATTTAAGATTCATTTTAACATTTGAAGCGACATAGATATGAATGAATTGAATCGTACGACTTGAATCGTAAACCATAAGATTTTATGCTCGGTATTGCGAATTTTCGTAAATGAGTCACACACGATTATAGCTGAGGAGGATTAGAAGCAAACTGCGTTGGTGGCGGATATTTCGGATATTGCAAGAGAGATCCACTTTGGGGTTAAATCTACAATTTGGGCGGAGCGGCTGGGAATATCGAGTAAGTATATGGGTGATTCTGCAATTTTCAAAACTGTTTCGGCCAGAGAGGTGGATTTCTAGAAATTACAAATTGACCCCAACTTGGGGTGGATTTCTTATTGAAGGACCAAATTAAAAAAAAATGTATGTAATATATAGGGACCAAAAATCGTAAAATTTGATCGATTAGTTGATATTTAAGATTTATTTTAACATTTCAATCGGCATAGATAAGAATGAATTGAATCGTAAATCATAAGATTGTATGCTCGTTATTGCGAATTTTCGTAAATGTGGCGGATATTTTGGATATTGAAAGAGAGATCCACTCTTTGGGGTCAAATTTGCAATTTGGGTGGATCAGCTAAGGAGATGGAGTAAGTATAGGGTTGATTGTGCAATCTTCACAATTGTTTCAGCGATGGAGGTTGATTTTCGGAAATTACAAATTGACCTCCACTTGGGGGCATTTCCGGTTGAAAGACCGATATTAAAAATGGTATATAATATATGGACCAAATCTGTAATTATAACATGTTTATTATATATAATATAATAAATTAAAGTTTTCTTCAATTGTAAATTGTACAATTTGATCGTGTTGTCGATATTTAAGATTTATTAATATTTGAATCGACTTATGTATGAATAAATTGAATCGTAAGATTTGAATCGTAAATCATAAGATTCTGTAAGTATAGGGGTGATTCTATAATTTTAAAAATTGTTTCGGCCAGGCAGGTGGATTTCCAAAAATTACAAATTGACCCCCACTTGGGGTGCATTTCTGGTTTAAAGACCAAAAATAAAAAGAGGTATAATAATTTAGGGACCAATAAAATTTGATCGTTTTGTTGATATTAAAGATTTGTTTTAACATTTGAATCAACATAGATATGAATGAATTGAATCGTAAGATTTGAATCGTAAATCATAAGATTTTATGCTCGTTATTGCAAATTTTCGTAGATGTGGCGGATATTTTGGATAGTGAAAGAGAGATCCACTTTGGGTTCAAATTTGCAATTTGGGTGGAGCGGAAGAAGGAGTAAGTATAGGGGTGATTCTGCAATTTTCACAACTATTTAAGCCAAGGAGGTGGATTTTCGGAAATTACAAATTAACCTCCACTTGGGGGGCATTTCCGGTTTAAGGAACAAAATTAAAAAAATGTATATAATATAGGGACCAAAACTGTAATTATCATAAAAATAATATAATAAATTAAAGTTTTCTTAAATCGTAAATAGTAAGCTTTGATCGTTTTGTTGATATTTAAGATTTATTTTAACTTTTGAATCGATTTAGGTATGAACGAATTGAATCGTAAGATTTGAATTGTAAATCATAAGATTTTAAACACCATATTGCGAATTTGCATAAATGAGTCACACGCGATTATAGTTGAAAAGTAGAAGCATACTGCGTTGGTGGCGGATATTTCGGATATTGCAAGAGAGATCCACTTTGGGGATAAATTTGCAATTGGGCTGGAGCGGTTGGGAAGATGGAGTAAGTATAGGGATGATTGTGCAATTTTCAAAACTGTTACTGTCAGGGAGGTGGATTTCCAAAAATTACAAATTGACCCCCACTTGGGGTGCATTTATAGTTGGACCAGAATTAAAAAATATATATATAATAATAGGAACCAAAAATCGTAAAATTTAATCGATTTGTTGATATTTAAGATTTATTTTAACATTTGAATCAACATAGATATGAATGAATTGAATCGTAAGATATGAATCGTAAATCATACGATTTTATGCTCGGTGTTGCGAAGTTTCATAAATGTGGCGGATATTTTGGATATTGAAAGAGAGATCCGCTTTGGGGTCAAATTTGTAATTTGGGTGGAGTTGTTAGGAAGATTGAATAAGTATAGGAGTGATTATGCAATTTTCAGAACTGCTTCAGCTAGGGAGGTGGATTTTCTGGAAATTACCAATTGATCTCCACTTGGGGGCATTTCCGGTTTAAGGACCAAATTAAAAATGGGATATAATATAGGAACCAAAATAGAAATTATAACACGTTAATTATAAATAATATAATAAATTATTGTTTCCTTAAATCGTAAATCGTAAAATTTGATAGTATTGCGAATTTTCGTAAAATGAGTCATACGCAATTATAGTTGACGAGTCATTG